TGTTTGATTGGCTGACTGTTCAGTGGTATATTTCTGACAGCACAAGTGTTTCATTACTTTTGAGGGTCCCAAACTAGGAGTGTGTTTAAAGTGTAAATAAATGTTACAAGGGTGGGAGAAATCAATTTTTAAATGGAATCTTGCACCAATCCACCCTTCTGTGGCATAACCGTGAATGGGAAGGCCTTGGCATGTGGATTGATAGAGCCTCTTCCCCTTCCCCAGCTGATCCTCAGTGATGCTCATAGCAGCCACTATTTTCAAAAGGGGGCCCATGCTCAGCTTTCATATACACACGCAGTCATCCCTCTCTCCTAGGACCGTGGCCCATCTAATTGGTACGCAGAGCACCAAGGGTGGTTGGATGTGTACGTGGGAGGTAAACACAGCCCCCCTGTTAAAAGTAACATGCTACAGCTGAAGGTCAGCCAGGGAACAGAAGGGAGGATATGGCGCATCTCTCCCACATGCAGCTGCACCCTGGCAAGGATGGCCCTGGCCTTGGTTTACAGAACATTGCACGTTCTCGTTTTCTCTCTCTCTCCCCCTCTCCCCCCCTCCCCCCTTCTTTCTCTGTCTCCGTAAGCTTTTAAACTGGTGTTTACAACACATTTACATTCAGGTAAATATAGTCTCTGTTAACTCCGTATTTCTAAAGCTGAACTGCGTGATCTGTACAGTGAATTATAAAAGTATTGAATCATTTTGAGGTGCCATTTAATTTTTCTTTTCAGAAATCTTCTGTGCACATAATAACTTTTTAAAAAAATCTTCCCTTTTCCCTCCACACAGTGAGCATGGCCACTAACAGGCTTATAGGTGCAGTGGCAGGGACCATTCTGGCTCTGGGGGTGATTTTTGGAGGCACAGGGTGGGGAATAGAGTAAGCATTTTTCTTAGTTTAAGAGTTTTATGTTTGGTGCCTAGTGTGTGAGGTAACTGTACGCATCTGAGCCCTTTGTGTACTATCCCATTAGCTTTGTGTTCTGTTGTGACTGTATTTGTCATGTGATTTGAATGTGTCTGTGTCATGTGATTTGCTCATGCAGTGTTTAACCCTCTCCTGTCTGGGACAATGTGGGGCATAAAACAATGTGTGTGAATTTTATACCATTGCAAATAATGCAATTCAATGTTTTATCTGTTTTTAGTTCTCTAAATTGTAAAAAGAATTTTTAAAATTATTATTGCGAAATGTTTTCCAACAGACAGCTTGGACTACTTCATATAATTTGGTTTATTGCCATTGATGGGGCATTCAGTGTAATAGTGGGGGGAAATATCCAAGCTGCACAATAAGAAAATAGCTTTCCTTAAGAACTACAGAATTTGTATAATTTTTATTTTAACATTTTTTTAACTTCAATTTTTCTAGGATTTTTAGTTCCCTTAGAGAATAGTTTTCTGTGTTGAATGAAAGATTTATGCTGTGGTCCACCCAGAGAAATCTGCACATGAAAACAGCTTTCCAAATACACAGCTAGTGTGTGTCCAGATATGCATCTGGATGTGTATCCTCATTGTCATCACACTCATGTGGGTCCTCTTGACCTGACAGGATGCATCGTCTGATAAGCATGAGGAATTCCCAACTAGAGCTGGACTCAGGGCTTAAATAGTGATATTTGGATTTATATAGCTTTGAGAATAACAGCTGGGAGTTTAGCTAGCACACCAGTGCAGTCCTAAACAGGGTCACGTGCTTTGTCAGTGGATTTAGAAGGGTGCAATTCTGTTTAGGATTGCATTGAGCTAACAGCTGGAATTTGAGTGGAGTTACATTTACACCCCTCCTGAATGCATTGATGTCAAGATTCAAGAGTGTAACTGTGTTCAGGAATGTACTGTAATTGGTATCTGTGCCATCCCTTTACAGACCTGGAGTGATCATGGGATAAAGAAATTACTAGAGGAATTACTCATATTGCAGACCTTGTTTTGATTGCCATTGAAGGTGTTTAGTTTTTTGGGGGGGGGGGTTACTTTTCTTTCCCTTTCTCTTCGTTCTGTTCTTTAACAATGGACTGATTTGAATAGGAGTTTGTTTATAGCATCAACAAATAGTTTGGCTATCAATCAGTTACCACAGTAATTTAAAAATGTGCCCAGATGTGTTATGGCAGACTGGATTATGTAAAAGTAAAAAGTGCCGGTGATACTGGACTGATCTGTTTGGAGCGTTACTTAGTTCATGTTGCCTTAGTGACAATACAGGTTTGTTTTATTGCCTCTTATGTTTACTAGAAATAACTATGCCCCAGGATTTTTCAGAATGTATATTCTTTACGTAATATGTAGTCTGTATCCCATTAAAGCTATTAGCCCATGTGGAACCAGGATTTGGGGTCTGTGCTGCTGCAGAAAAGTGCATACTTATTCAAAGTAGCAGCGATGTTCAAAGAGAATTTGTAACACAATTTCTTTATGAGGACCAACTAAAATGTAAAAAAGTAATCAAGTTTTTAAGTGTATCAGAACATCAGGCAAAATGTTAAGGAAAATAAAAGGTGGGTGGAGAGAGAGAGAAAATATTGCGCATAATAGTGTCTAAATTTTCACTTTATAATAATTTAAAATATAACAGAGGAAATTGGGTTAGGCTGTGCTTTGTGCAGATTTATCTCCTGCTTACAAACAAGCAATGACTGCTCTCTCTGAAAATACAGAAAGCGACAATTATTTTGGATCTGCCTCCAATGCTACTAGTAATGCATAGTCCTTTGTAAGGCAGAGTATCTTCATAGTAGCAAAGTGGGAGATGAATTTACATTAGGTAGAGGGTCAGATCAGATACTGTAATGTGGTTTGGGAGGTAGTCTGTGGATTGCCTCGTGGGAGAAATCCTGTCAGTTGGCAGAAAGCCGTCTTCCTCTAGTTCCAGGATTTCTCTCTCTCTGGATGGCTGGATTTCAGATGCCTCAGATGAGATCAAGTTGGTTAATCCTGTCTATCTGGATTTTTTAAACTCTTAAGAAGCTGCAGCGTTTGGAAATTATTTTCTTCCTTCACAAAAAAGTTGGTCCATCAGAGGTAATGGAACTCTTCATTTGCTGCCCTGAGCATGCATAGACAAGTACATCAGGTACTTTATATGTTCAAAGATAACATTGTTTCTCCTCTGTTAACTGCATATAAATCACTCTTGCTATGCTGGGGTTAGTATGGAATAGAAACTGCATCAGATAGAGGAGTTGCATTTTCCAGATGTTCCTCCTAAACAGCGTAACAACCTCACGTTTTCATCCCATTGGCTGTCCTCTTTGGGGGCTGCAGTGAGAGGTGCGAGAGCCTTCATGGGTGGAAATCCTTCCATGGCTGGAAACAGAGAAGGAAAGAAATAAAGTAAGGTATGGGCATTGGCCACTGCTTTAAACAGTGAAGCATTCTCCTTTCTCCCTTCACATGTAATCAGGAAAACCATATTTGACAGTGCTGACATCTGTTTGGTACACAAGGGCTGGGGCTACAGTGAATATGCCTCTCACATAATTCTGCATCGGTAAAGGTGGCAAATGTTTGCTGGTTGATGTTACAAACTCTTTAACCTATCCGTACTACTCATAAGTGATGAATTTTCTGCTGCAGCACACTCAGAAAATCCCTACAACATGAAGAAATGGTAAAACAAAAAGCATTTGCAGATAATTTTTCCTGTTTATCGTTGCAAAGAAAGCTAGGGACTGAGTGCTTTGATACAGGGCCAGATATTGTACCAAAAGTGGTCTAGTTATATACTGTTCCTTCCAGGAGTCTTGGATTGTGATACATCATGGAGTTGGTGGCCTTGGATTATGAATGTTGTCTTTAAAATGGAATACTGGTGTCATCCCTTAAATTACCATTACTTGCTTTCTCTTTCCCACTTTTTTTCTGATGCCCTTCTTTTTTGTTGGGTTTTCCAGGGAGTTCTCTCTGAAAGTATTCCAAACACATATAAATCTTGCAGATGTGTTTTCTAAAACATTCAGTTCTTTGTCAAAACAGAAGCATATACTTGGTGACATAAAGCTTGTTTAAGAAATATTTAAATGTTGCTATGTAAATTTAGATTAGTTTAAATTCGAATCGGAAGTTTCGGTGTATATTCTGGCAAGGAACTGGTTTGCTCATGCAAGCATGGTAGACAATCTCATTTCTTTTTAACTGTGCAAATGAAGAAATTCAGTGATAGTTGTTGCTTCTCAAACATTCAGTTAATCCTTTTTAGAAAATTAGACAAAATGCATAAAACAAACTTTAAAAAAAACCTTCATGTTTTGTCTTGCCAGAGTACAGTGAAGAGTGCTTTGTTGTTTGGAATGTTTCAGATTATTCAATCAAGCACTCTTCCCTCTCAATTTCTTCGAAATGGGGTATGACCCAGCCAAAGTAAAGCACATTTAATTCCCATTGTTTTAAAAGTAAGGGAAATTCCTCTCTCGCTGAAATCAGTGAGTGTGTTTGTTTTTTGACTGGAGCATATCCATGATGTTGGTTGCTAATGCAAGATAATAATAATCTCATTTAATCATAGTCTCCATTTCGACAAAATTCTGTGTACCTGCTAAGGAGCTTTCAGTCAGTGAAATAAATGGGAAAGCAAAGTATTATACATTTCACAAGTTCAACATTACTTTAAAATAGAGCTTTAGTTTAATTACTCAAAACAATTTCTCAGGCTGCTTTGATATTAAGTATAACCATTATTTTAATTTTAAATGAATTTCCCTCTTTTGTTGAGACAATCTAGAGAATATTTTCTTGTTTTAAAAGCAGGTGATATGGAGGTATAGCATCAAGAACAAAGCATAAAAGAATTAAACAATGAGCAAGGATTTTGTTTACTTTCTGTCTTTGTCTTCCTGTGTATTTTTAAAAATAACCATGGCCCTTTTAGTGATGCTGGTGTTAAAATAATTTTATAGCACTCTTATTTTTAATTGCTTGACTACATTTCCCATGATGTGAATGAATTAAGTGGTTGGTTCTTATGTCTTTCTTCCCATAATCCTTTGTCACAGGTCCTAGTGCCACCAATCTTATAATAGGTTCCATCGCTGGTGCCATCCTGGTAGCAGCTATTGTCCTTGGGGGGACAGGATGGGGCTTTAAGTAAGCAATGCCGCATGTCTTCTCTTCAGTGGCTATGGCATCTCTCTCTTCTGCTTACATCACTAAATTTTGAGTTCCTGCTACAAGACCTCTGGTAACGTTTCACTGAAATGATTCCATATTTAGTAAAGAGCCAAAACATACTGCTTAAAAAGTCCTCAAAATGTCACCAGGATGCAAAGCCATATAATAGTAAAATTATGGAAATTGAGCTGCTTACTTTCACTCTGGTCAAAAAGATATTTCTGTTTGTCGCAGTGTTTCCATAAACACTTCATAGGAAGGCTGAGTTATGATAAAAAAAATCCTAAGGGTGCATTTTGAAAACACACAAGTTGAACCTATTTGAATGCCTAGGAATGGGACTTTCAATTGAACCGTCTTAATATACATTGGAGGTGCATGGTGCACAAAGGAGCCGGCTGTACAGGCCATTGAAGCAGTTTGCATTGTTGTCGCAGCATTGTCTGGAGTTGATTTGATCATGCAAATTGCAGCTGTGTGGTTCCATTGGTTCCTACGGCCAGTGCCACTGTGTGAGGGCATTGGAAGACTAGATGATACAGTGAGTGTATGGCCGCTGATGGAAGTCGTAGGCTGCATCCCCCTCCTCACTTCTCCCCCTCCTCTTTAGTAAAATTTGTAGCAAGACCTCGTAATGTTGAGTTTCCACACCCCCATAATGCACTTTGTTGGGGTTCATGCTTGGAGGGGCATACTGTCTCTCTCTCTCATAGGAGAGGAGAAGGGGACACTGCTGATGTTTTCAGTGACAGCCATGCATTTTCTAGTTTTGTTCTTAGGGATGAGCTCTGTGTTATGCACACATTCCCTGATGTCATTTTTGTACAAGTGAAAACCACCTTCAGGAGTTGGAAATTTTCAAACAGAAAAGTTCTGTGCGTGTGCAAGCATGCACAAATACATGTACTCTTAGTCCTTTTCCTGCCCTTGTTTCTCCACTCAGGTGCCCCTCCCCAATTTTTAGGTATTTAGGACACATTCATAGACTGGTATGTGTGTGGCTTTTATCATGCAAAGCTATTGCATTCAAGAAAAAAAAGTCCCTGTGCCAGTCAGGGATCCTGGAGGGTTTTTTCTTTTTCTTTTCTTTTCTTTTCTTTTTTCCCCCCCTCTTCTGGGCATTGAGCAGGGGTCATAGGTGGTGTGGTGGGGAGGTATTTGTGAATTTCCTGTATTGTTAGGGGGTTGGACTAGATGACCCTGGTGGTCCCTTCCAACTCTATGATTCTATGAGATTTTAAATATATTGGACTGAATCCAGTTACTTTATTTTGCTAAGTGAAGAGAATTCCCACTGATGGATCTAACCCATTGTGAATTATTAGATTTCAAGGTTAATATGATGTAAGTTTTCACATCAGAACATTTGCAAACAGCCAGTACCCAAAAGAAGGTTTGTGCTTATGAAGAGATGTTGGGTGACAACAGTTCAGGGAAAAGAATACGTAACCAGTGAGACAAGCTCTGCCCCATTTCAGCCAATGCAGTGTATGTTGTCAGCATATGAACTAGTGCTAATTGACCTTTACCAATCCAGTGGCTGAAGTTCATGCATAATCTCTAGAACTGTGCATGTACTGCCTAGTGGGGTCTATGTTGCCATCATTTGACAGTGCAGGAAACTTGAGGAGGGCAGGGGAGGAGGTGACAACACCTGCACTTGAGAGAAGAAGATGCTCTCCTCTTTTGCTTTCCATGTAATTAACAAGCACTCTCAGGGTCAAACTACGTTTTTATTTATAATGTGCAGTGTCTAGGCTCCCTTGATTTGATTTTAACCAAAACAGTCAGACTTCAGATGCAAGGTAATTCATTTCCCTTAGCGTGTGGGTCCCTGAGTCTTGTTAAGACACTGAATTGGGGAGAAAGGACTTCAGCCTCATGCTGTTTCCTGATCCCAAATGTTTGGGAGGCTTTCTTGGCCCCAGAGGGGAGGCTGTGCATACTCATGGGCTACAGGTGCAGCCATTTCAGGTTAGGGAAGTGGCATGGGAGGACAGTTGAAGCCCCCCCACACACACCATCCAAATCAGTGTGTGACTCTTGGGAAATGAGTTCTTTTTGCCTGACATCAGACTGCCTCAAAGTCAGATTGGAGGAAATGGTGACATGTAGTTTTACCCTCAGTATAACCCACATTATGGTTTAGAGAATCTTTTTGAGCACTGCAACTAAAATTATAGCTTTTTGGACTGGAGGCAGCATAGGGGGATTAACTGATATTACTTGCTTGGTGGTGGAAAGTGCCATCAAGTCTCAGCTGACTTATGGAGACCCCATAGAGTTTTCAAGGTGAGAGACGTTCAGAGGTCGTTGGCCATTGCCTGCCTCTGTGTAGCGACCCTGGTATTCCTTGGCAGTCTCCCATCCAAATACTAGCCGGGGCCAACCCTGCTTAGCTTCAGAAGGTTCAGTCTTGAGTATTTAATTCTGCTGATCTGTTCATTAGCCAGCTTTTTATCTATTATAAATCACCTGTGATTCATACAGTTCACAACTGTTCTGATGTAACTCTGTCAGTTTCCATGTATAATAAACTTAGATTTTTTGTAGTCTATTTAGCCTATTGATTATTTGAGGCAGAATTACAACAAATTTTTGTACTAGTAGTTTATTATTTTGAGGTTTTATTAATTGTTTTGTAATTTGTCACATCTGTTGAGATGTTAATGGAACAAGTGTTCCTTAAAATTGTTTATTTGTTGAGACTCGATATTTTTGGACCTCCATAGCATAAATGATTAATTCCTTTGTAGGGAATATAAATGAAATTATGATAGAACAAGTATAGTTCATATTTTCATGACTGGTTTTAACCTTTTAAAACATTGCTCATCACTTGAAACTTGTATTATACAATAGTAGCATCACTAAGATAATCCTTTGCATCCTGGGTGTCATTCTAGTGTACATTTACATGCAGCAAAATTATTTGATATCCTTGTATGGATAACCTTTCAAAGTAAATATTTCAATAGTTTTCCATTGTTTTAAAAAAGAAGTAGTTTTATTCTGTAGCAGAACCTCAAATACAATGGCCTCGCCTAGCTCACAGCTTGAAGTGCATGTTTCTTTGGGGTAAAACTGAAAAGGAGTTTTCACTGTATGGAAGAGGCCTAGTGCCAGGTAGGCTGACTCATGTTTTCTACCCTCCCCCCCCATTTAGTAGGTGATGCTTAACAACAATCACAAAACCTTGACAGTCAATTAACTACAAACCGCAGGGGGCATTTCTGTTCTATGGGTTTTAAGGACTTACAGAATCTGTTTTGGGTGCAATGTGTGGAACAGCAGAAGGTTTTTAAGGTAGTGTATAACATAGTAAAATAATAAATGTACTTCACGTATGAGAAGCAAAATATGTGTAGGAACTTCACGTTAGACGTTCCAGGCAAGAGTACTAATAAAACTCCAGAATATTTCACCTGGGCATTACAATGTGAACCTGACCTAATGTTTTGGAAGGGATTGGATTTGAAGTTGATACTTCTTGTTTTAAATTCTCTTGAGTGCGACAGGCCTAAATCACTCCTAGTTGCATTAAAAACTGAACAGTGGTTCTGACCAAATATTTGGCTTCGATGTGATTTATTTTTTTCTGAGCTGTTTCCACACACACTATAAAGGAGCTTTCCATGGAACTTATAGATGATACTGTTTTGTAAGATCTGACCTTCCTCGAGTGTTGTAATATGGGTAGCATTCTAAGATACTGGAATGCCCCAAATGTTTTGGCAGGACAGTTTTGCAATAAGAAATAGAATAGCTATTATATGGGATCTCTTTAGCCACAATGGGTCTCAATAAGATAGGTGGATGATAAATTATGTACATAAATACTGGGTTCATATCCACTTGATATGTGTTAGGGTTGTTTTTAAAAAAGTTTGCAGTTTAAGCTATGTGTGTGTTAGTTTCACTGATAACAGAAATATCTATTAAAATACAGATTTTTAAAAAATCAAGTCCTTAAAAACATGAACTTTAATATAGTTTATGAGAGAGAATTGTGTTTGTGTTGCACATAAAGGTATATGCTAGTTTATATTAGGGTCTGTTACGAAAGCAGATCCATCCTGTCCTCATTTAGGGAGGAAATGGACTGTCCCTTGTGTCCTTGTGTGGCTGTTGAGCAAAGCTGCAGGATTTCTACTCCTCTTCCTGTAATTTGTCCCCTTTTCTTCCTCAGAGATGTTCAGCTTCTGTATTCTTGGGAACAGCTCTCTTTTCTAGACAGCTGCCCACACATGCAAGCAAGCACAGCTGGGGCCTCTTCATGCAAATTCACAATGGAAGGTGTAAAACTGAAGTGCGGAGTCTCTGAATTCTTGCATTGTGAAAACATATTTTGCCTAATGAGTGATGCTGTGTGCAAACCTCTTACCAGGTCTGAATTCAGGCCTGATTTATATATGCAGGAGAGTGAGGGGGTAGAACAGCCTGCAGACCCCATGTGATGGTGAAAAGTACTCGGAAACGTTGAGTGATTCAGCAAAGAGTACTTTATTAGATCAAGAACAAGACAGAGAACCCCGGCACGCAGGCCGGTATATATGCTCAGAACCCACCACCAAAACACACCCCCTAGTGACCCTATAGGTTATTTACAGTGGCCGAGAGTCTCATAGGCTCTCGGCCGCGGACCTTGCCCTCTGGTTGGTGCGGGCTAGGATCCGCTCTGCTATTGTTCTCCCGGAACGAAGCTTTGGCCTTGTGCGCGACCGCATGGCCCAACGGTCGCGCACGTGGCAATACGGATACATTACAGATGGATTCCTCTTTTCAGATTGGTCCTTTATATAGAGCAGTCCCTGCAAATAGATAACCAGCACAGATTCTGTTTGCAGGGAGGTTTTAACTTCAGGGGACAGGCCACAGTGTGATTCTCTGCCTGTAGTCTGACACGGTGCTCTTCCTTCTGCCATCTCCTTATTCTCCACCTCTTTCTCTCACATGTCTCTTTTATCAGGCCATGCTGTG